AACCAGTAAGATGGCCCCTTCCCAAAATTACTTCAACTGAAGGTTTCCAGATGGATATGCGGATCCAATCTGGAAATCCATCTGACGGAGTCAGGTTAACACTAACTGGCTCGCTATGAAATCATTATTTTACTGCCAAATAAAAGAAAAGCCTTTGTCGTGTTAAAAAAGGCACACAATTCTTTCTTAATGTGTGTAACCAAACTGACCCTAGTTGTTTAACCCTCTATAAGGCAAGTTAGCATTTTTGATAACTTGAATACCCCTTACAAACACATCTGAAAAGTTAAAAAGTTAATATGCTTATGTGAAAGTTAAAAAGTTAATATGCTTATGTGAAAGTTAAAAAGTTAATATGCTTAGTCACAAAGTAAAAAAATGTTAGTGCCAGTATCAGCATTAATGCCTCTAAGGTTATGTTGCAACAAAGAGTGTTTATCAGGAATTTCTTAAAGAAGCACTTTTTCAATTCAATTCAGTTTATTTATATAGCGCCTATTCACAACACATGTCATCTCAAGGCACTTTACAGTTCAACCAGATCATCCAGTCCAACTGATTCAAAGTTTTCTATCTAAGGAAAACCAGTTGATCACATCGACTCATTGACTCGAATGCAATCCCTCACATCAAGCATGCTTGTAGCAACAGTGGAGAGGAAAACCTCCCTTTTAACAGGAAGAAACCTCCAGCAGAACCAGGCTAAGTGTGAGCTGCCATCTGCCGAAGTCGACTGGGCTTTTTATTTTTCTTAATATATTCTGGCAAGTTGGTGTTTCTTGTTATTACATTGACATTCATTTTTACCATCAAAATATCCACATACTTTTGAATATTACAAAGAATAAGGTCTTGTCCTGGATTCCAATAACACCATCGGCTCGAAATTTTGATTTTCAAAGTATTTCAATGAGTGGCAATAAATGGTTAAGGGGTATGAAAATTGTTACAAGGCAATGCATTTTTAGAAATCCCACCTGTAAATAAAAATGTGTCACTCAGTTTACATTATTGAGCTATCTGTTTCATACATAATGTTCTGCAACCTGCCAGGCCCTCCTCAGTGATCAATATTACAGTTTATACCCTGATTTTCTGTTTTTAATATCATTATAGGAGGAGAATAGATCTATATTTGAATGGATGTTGATATCCTGCTGGTTCCGCACAAACACAAATGGCTGCTGGTTCTAACTGGAAGGTGGGCGGGTCAGAACACGTGGTCAGACTGCAGAGCGTTATAGACTTAAACATATTAGATAAAACTCAAACAAAGATCGTCTCTGTCAGTTTATCCCTTAAACAGGGCCCAGTGAACGGTGTGTTTCAGAGATCCTGACCTCTGCAGCCAGGTGCGGAAGAAGCCCATCTCTGGAAGGTGCAGGATCCCTGGATTGGACTCGCATAGCTGCACGAAGCTCTTCAGTTCGCTCACTTTTCTAGGGTCCATGCTGGCGCCTCAAGGTCCAGCACACGGAGCGCTGCGATCGGCCTGGAAGTAGAGGAACAGACAGGCAAACTCAGCCAAGTAGAGCGTTTTAAATGCTGAGCGGATAATACCTCCCTGTAAGCTAGGAGATGCTAGCATGTCAAGGCATGAGCTACCTGCTCTACGTTCTCTAATTCACCAAATATTTCAGCTTAACCAAAAAAAGAAAGATAAAACAACCAACATAAACAATAAAAAAATAAAATTAGAACAATTTAAATAAATATTACAATAGTTCAAAGAGAGAACTTTCTGGAAATGTGGATCAGCGCGTGACGCGCCGATCCTTTGACGCATGAAAACAACCTTCCTCCGCTGAATGAAACTCGGTATTTGCATGGTTTAAATAAAATAAAAGTGCACAAACCTGACTGGGAATGCTTGAAGAGGAGCAGAAGCGATGTAGAGGAAGGTTGTGGTCGGTTTTATCGCCTCAACCAATGCCCTGCTGGAGGCTGCGTCGCTTTTATGTTTCATTCAGGCGACAAATCGGACAGACCCAAGGAGCATGGGTGAAGTTTGTCCTGAACGCGGTTTTTCAGGAAGGGTTTTTGACAGGATGAGTTTTATAGAAATTTGTGTAACACGGACAAGATATATGAAAGGAATATTGCCAAATTAACAAAGCTTGGGTTTTGAATAAAACATTGAAAATAAATGTTTAAAGGTCCATCTCAAATGTTCCAAAACACAATGGAACCTGTCCAGTCATAAGGCTTTTGGATTATGCAGCCAGACAATGAGTATTTTTCAGAGACATCTTTGTAAATCATTTTCTAATTTAGGAACTTAAAATAAAGTTTACTCCGGCTATGTTTTCAGGATAATAAAATATGTTTAAAGATCTTAAACACTGAAGAGTGACAAAACTAACCTTACTATGATTATGAAACTAGAAACCCATAATACGCAGAAAAATTAAAAACACCCTCGAATGAAATATACACAGAGAAATGTAGTGTGTACCTAAATTGAAGCTAGTTATAATCTGATCAAAACAGGGAACTGTCTGTGATACCATGATTATGTGTGTGTGCGCAAAATAAACATGTATCATGGTTGTCTTAATCTACATAACCCACACATAACTTATGCTAAAATGTTATATTAATTTCTTGAAAAACTGTTCTATGCCTGACAAACCAAACCCAGGGAGAATTTTGACCCACAGAATGAGTGTGGCTAACAGTGCAGGGAGCTAGCAAAGGCAGATAATGGTTATAGGGTATTTTTTATTGTTTTGTTTTTAAATCTCTACTAGGGAAATAATAGGCCACATTCGTCAGACTACATGGTAGATTAAACGTTTTCCACCAGGAAAAAGAACATATCTAGAATAAATATAGCAAGATGAAAATAGAAGAAAAAAAAAAAAAATTAAAAAAAATCCTATTTTGACAGCACATATATTTCCAATAATAGAAAAAAATTGAATAATAAATTGTGAAAATTATCTATGAAATAAAATGATAACCTCTTGAAGGCTAATTTGCAACATGGGCGGTTCTAGATGGGGGCTAACAGGGGCCAATGGCCCAGTAGAACAGGTCACTGAAAGAAATACACTAATAAAAATAAAATCTAAGTAATTTTTTCTTTAATTTATTATATTTCCCTTTATTTAGGCACACAGTAAGACAATGTACCTATGGAATAAGATGAATTTATGCTTAAAGTGAGGAAAAAGAACTCATTATCTTATATCAAGTGCATCGTATCTAATTATCTTACTTTAAGAGGAAAGAAACACTCATTTCTTTGGCAGATCATCTTATATACCTGCTCAAATTAAAAGCAAATACACAGATTGAAAAATAAAAATATATATTTT